TTATCTGGACAGTTGGTATTGGTGACAAAGACCAGTTGCAATTTGATTCTAAAATGTATGGGGAATTCAGTGATGCATTTTTCGAAGCTTAATATGAAATATACGTGATGTAATAGGCGTCTCAATACCGGCCTTCGCGAAACGTGATTTTGTAAACACTATCCAATATGGCGGAAAGCGCTCTACGGCGTTCGTGTAAGTGTATTTTCGAAAACATCCCAACCGATTCTAGATTCATCGGCAACGTTTCAGAATTATCATTAGCGATTTCATGTAAAAGTGATAGCAGTGTTCATTAATATGTTATTTTTTTAATTCAATACTCACAGTAATTATCCGATTTTCACATTTCAAAACATACAGCAAATAACAATGTGAATCGATTTCGTACTGTGTCAAAAATGGCGACATTTTCGATGAAGCCTATTTTGAAAGGTCATTTTCAGGACTTGAGCTTTGTCTAAAATAATAGTGGATGGTATCAAGAAACAGGAAATTTCCCGCAGAATTCGAAACTGTGAAGTGTATTTGTGTACGTGGGATATGTTGATTTTTATTGGACTTGAAATTGAGGGTTGAAGGGGAAGGACATATATGTCCCTGTGACACACTGCTATTGCGAGATATTTGTAGAAGTATTTTATTAAAAGTGCACAAGTTTTGCTACATATAGGACCCTTTTAGTTCAAATCACTGGCAATTAGGCCATTTAACCCCCTTGATGCAGGGGGTTAAGGTTAACATTTCCAAATTTCAGGCGTGATCAAGCCTGCGAACCTTACAGAACATTGGCATGGGTATCCATACAATAAAACCTCAATAACCACCAGTTATGAGAGTAAACTGCTCATTTTTATATAATTGTGTGTAGCGGACGTTATATTCCTGTTGTATGTTAACACTCTGAATGGTTGAAAGGCCTCAGTTAATGTGAGAAAGATTCTAGGACAGGTCAGTATTTGATGGCAGCTGTCAGGATGTTCTGGAAGTTTCTTCGTTTCCCTACATCAGGATGAATAAAGTAAATAGGTCATAAAAGAAAGCAAAAAAGGCAACAGTAAGTAGTGTAGACATAAAGAAATACCTTGGGTGTAGGAGTTCATAGTGACAATAACTGGTGATGAGCAGATCGTGAGGCAAATGTCAGCAGAAATTCAGCAATAGCACAAAGGTATGATAGCGTCAAAATGGCGGCATCAGAAGTGAAACTGTCGTCATAGCGACGTCATAAATCTCGCGAGATCGTCATAGCATTACGTGACGCTAACGACTGGTTTCATCCGTACCCTGCGCATGTCAGTTTTACGCAGCACTCAGCAATATTCCAGCTATGTGGCGGCGGTCTGTAAACAATCGAGTCTGGGCCAGACAATCCAGTGATCAACAGCATGAGCATCGATCTACGCAATTGGGACACGATGACATGTGTAAACCAAGTCAGCGAGATGGCCCCCCGATCCCGTTAGTCGCCTCTTACGACAAGCATGGGTTACTGAAGATTAATTCTAATCCTGTTAGTCAGACAAGAGACGAAGCAGCATCAAAGTCTAACTGCAAACATAATCTGATACATGAGATTTTAAGTATATTACAAACACAACGAATCAAATAGAATCATTCACTGTAGTCGATTGTAAGTTACAAACACTTAGCCATTGTATGAGATGTTATGGGTGAAACGTGAGGGCAAAGTGAATTGGTTCCAAGCATAATAGGCTCCTCCCGGGGTAAATGCAAGCACGATGCTGACGATGTCTGGTGAGTTTCTATGCTGTCCCTGTGCTGTAGTTTAGGATAAGGCATGTGAGGTAAGATCACCTGTATCAGCATTAAGATCGCTCTCTACAACGCTCTTGGTCTTTTACCTTTCTTGAATTGTTTGTTTCAGGTTTGGGCGTTTTTCTGGAACCCCGGCCTGTTGTAAGAGGCAACTAACGAGATCGCATGGTCAGCCACCCTGACTTGGTAGAGTCCAGACATTATGACATTCGTTGGATTCCTGGATCAGATTATTATTATCATTATTGACATCGCCGCCATTGTACTGAAATATTGGTGAGCGTGGCGTTAACCCTCTTGGTGCCACGGATCAGTGTAGGTCCTGTGAAAATGTCCCCTTCCAACTGCGAATTATGCTGCCAAACACGATTACGCAAAAGAAAGATAATAACCCCCATTGTTCTAATTGTCATCTGAGCTTTAACACAGCGTTACTCGGATTGTGAGGTTAGAAACGTGTGGTTACCGCTCTTCTCTCCCTTTTACTGCCATATTTAAATGTCAAGCAAAAGACGTCGAATTTGGCACCCATGTCACATACACCTGTAGGGTAGTCTAGTGGTTAAAGCGTTCGTTCGTAACGCCGAAGACCAGGGTTCGATTCCCGGCATGGGTAAAATATGTGAAGCTAATTTTTAGTGTCCCCCGGGGTGATAATGCTGGAATATTGCTGAAAGCGGCTTAAAACCTAACACTCTCACTCACTTACCTAATTATCAGTTTGGTTGGTTTGTTGTTTAACGCCACACTCAGCAATATTCCAGCTATATGGCGGCGGTCTGTAAAGAATCGAGTCTGCATATTCCAGTGATCAACAGCATGAGCATCGATCTACGCAATTGGGATACGATGACATGTGTCAACAAGTCAGCGAGACTGACCACCCAATCCCGTTAGTCGCCTCTTACGACAAGCATGCATTACTGCATGAAGACAACCTCAAACCCGTTTGTTTCATATGAGGGGCGGCGGGGAAGCCCTGTGGGGATAGCTATCGCTTGTAACATGTTCGATTCCCCACACGGTTACAATGTGTGAAGCCCAGTTCTGGTGTCCCTGACCGTGATATTGCTTGAATATTGTTAAAAGCGGCGTAAAACCCAACCCACTGACACCCAGAATGACAAAATAACAAACAAAGCCATCAAGATATACAGTACAACCAGAAATTATTGAGAATTTAACGATTGTAATTTTATTTTTTTCACTCATTACTCACGTATTTAATGTGAATATTAGCAGAACATAACTCCAGATTCAAAGACAGGTTAGTGTTTTGTCAAGTCACCATGGGCAGCAATGCAGGTTCAATGCGGCAGGGCATACTACTGATCAAAGAAGTTAGAAAGTCGTGGTCCATGCTGTCCCAATATCGGACCACCTCTTCTTTTATTTCAGCAATATTTGTCAGATTTTTTTTTTTTTTGTCCCCAAACATTTTCTATTGGATTTAGGTCAGGGCTATAGCTTGGCCAATCTAATAATGTCAAATTTTGGGTCCGAAACCAGGCCTGCGAATGCTTTGAACGATGTTTTGGGTCGTTGTCCTGCTGGAAAATCAAAACAATTCCATAGAACACGTGAGCAGATGGAAGTAAATGTCCCACGAGAATATCTGTTTACCGCTCACTGTTCATATTCCCTTCAAATACACAGAGGGGCGTTGCCCCTAACACAGATATGCCACCCCACACGTCAAATTTCGGACTGTAATTTAGGCGCTGATACAAAGTTTTTTCAGTTTGTTTGGTCCAGAATTTCAGTGTATTAGGAAACAGCCACACAGAACTTTCATCTGAGAAAATCACATTGTCCCAGTTAAAATTTCTATGCTGTAAGCACCAGTTCAACCTTCGCTCCTTTTGTTCAGGTTTCATGATCGGTGATGGAATTCATCCACTTTTCTGCCAACCCATTGCATGCAGCTCAGTTCTAATTGTCTCCTTACAGACAGCCACAGTTCCTCTATCAATCATATCCAGCCTTTAGTTTTCTAAACTCCTTCGTTGGTTTTTAGAAACAAAAATACCAAGCCGCCTCCTGTCACCGACAGTCAATTTACTGGGCCTACCTGGTGCTCAATGCCATATCCATTTGCAATATTTTTCAAAACACGATAAACAGTGGACAAAGGGATGCCTGTTCTGCTTGAAATCACTTTAGCTGATCTGGTGTCCTTGTTATAATAATCTAAAATCAACTTCCTCTTCTCTACATCATCCATACTGAGGATCCCTGAAAATGTCGTCTGCTAGCAAGTAAACAAAGGGGGATAACTCTTCACAAACTAATGAAAAAGGATTAACGGAGTTGTCTCTCTTGAATGAAACCAAGTACTTGATAGCTGGTCAAGGTTGTTTATACTAGAAATCCAATTAAACATATTCCTAAAATTCTCAATAATGTCTGGTCATACTATATTTGAAAAAGACCATGAGTGAATAATATTGCAGCTATTGGACTCAGGTAAGGTGGAAATACCTGACATTACAACAGACAATGTAACCAGTTGTTGTTTTGCTACAATTAATGGTTTCTAAATTATGGTCATAAAGTATGAAGAAAAAGAGACGTTCTTCTTTTCAGAGACAAAACAAATCTGCAGGGCTATAATTGGCTATAATTGTTTGGAATTTCACAACACACATAAAGATTCTTATCACCCATCACTGACATGCCAGTAAATGTGTGTGTGACAGAAATACCTACTGCGCCCAGTTCCTCTCTCCAAAGACCCTTTTACTGCAATTTTCGTTTAATTATCACTCCCACTTCTTACATGAGAAGGAGTGAGTAAGTTTTGGTTTTACACTTGCCACACATTCTACCTTGTATGGGCTACCTTTTGTTTATTTGTCTCAGGGTCTGAGCGCACAGTCAAAATGGGTTCGACTAAATTCACTCATATCAGTTACGTTTCGACAGGATTGTATCACGCAGACATTGTGATCATCAAATCCTTATTAGACCGGGGAGGATGAAAAGTGGGAAAACTCGATGTTTCCGTGGCAGTGTCACTAGTGAATCCTTTGGCTCCCAACACTCAAGGAGTGACAGTACCATACCCGTACGTGTCAATGACTGCATCACTTCAGAATTTCCTCCCAGGCGATGCTCACAAACCGACACACAGACAAAAGGGGATTGACCCACATTTACTCACTCACACAAGTGTAGTTACACCAAAACATTTTATACTGAGCTATACAGAAACACATCAGTTTCGTTTCCACATATTTTATTGCATTTCAGTGATACATGTTCACGACAGGCACGATACACATGAACTGGAGAAGTTCGCTTTGACGATGGCTGATCTGCGATATAACTCTCTGGGGAGAAGGGGGCTGCCTATCTTCAACCTGTGAACAGAAAAGTAACTCATCAAAATCTCTGATCAAAGCAAGGTCCATTGCATGTTCCCGACTATATCATAAGTGTCTATGAAACACTGTCACTCCAAATATAGGATTTCTTGAGTCCTGCTTTATTCATTGCATGCAACGTACTATGAACATTGTCCCTTCAATGGTCTCTCTTTGGAATCTCTGGGAATATTTGAAAAAGATCGCCTAATTTTTACGTTTATACATTTAATGCACATTTTGACACAGGTATAATCCAATATAGATACAACTATTGGCATGTTGATGGAGCAGTGCGTGAATGTACGCCATATCTCAATTGACTTCTAATATTGTTACTTTTCACATGGTGGTTGGGGTTTTCGCATGGAGATCTTGATTAACGTGGTGTCCAGTACCGCCACTACCTCCACAAAACGGAATCAAGCAGAAATACAACTTAAGAACCCCATGGACAAAATCTATTTAAAGACTGCAGGGTAGACGTCAGCTTTCACCGCCACCCTGCTCTGACGTCATGGCCATGATGAGTAGTTGCTGAGGCAGGCAAGTGATGTTTTCACTGGTCCAATCATCACTGCAAATTATTTACTCAGACACAGACATATACATATTCAAGGGACACTACAGTGTCGGCCACTGTCAGTATTGTATTCGTACCCATCGTCCTGGTATGGTACCAATATCTGACTCTAAAAGCGGGGACAAAACCACACTCACTCACTAACATGTAGCAGAGGGCATCAAGGACATAGGACCAACTACTCAGATTGTAGTTCAGTTATAGATGTGATAGATGAACGGGTGACCACGGGATTTATCGTAGAACTCACTCACTAACACGTAGCAGAGGGCATCAAGGACATAGGACCAACTACTCAGATTGTAGTACAGTTATAGATCTGATAGATGAACGGGTGACCACGGGATTTATCGTAGAACTCACTCACTAACACGTAGCAGAGGGCATCAAGGACATAGGACCAACTACTCAGATTGTAGGACTACAGTTCGGTTATGTGATAGATGAACGGATGACCACGGGATTTATCGTAGAAGTGCAGTGGCATTGCTTAACCTAGCAGGGGTCGGTGAGATGACCTAGTCATTATAGTGTGCGTGCCTCACACTGAAGACACGGTTACAATGTGTGAGGCCCATTTCTCGTGTGATATTGCTGGAATAAGAGTAACTACTCACCCACTACACACTTCTTCTCACTACTACTACTACTACTCCTACTAATACTAATACTCTACACACACGCGCGCGCAATCTAAACAAAAAACAAGACAAATCAGCTAGAAAGTAAAAGCAATATTTAATAGTTAATACTCATAAGAGCCGAATAAATATTAAAAAAACTGGACTTAAATCTTGTCTGAAAAAGCCAAAATAAACAAGGAAATATAGTCTTTTATGATACAAAGAGCATTTATATATGAATAATCCCAAACCACCAAATATCTGAAAGGTCCGAAAAAACGTCCGAAAGGTCCAAAAATGTAGAAAATCACAAAACATGTTGTATTTAAACACACTGATTCCAATACAATGTCACTCGATTATCTTAAACACACTCCTCAAGAATCAAACAATTGCAAGATGTCACTCGATGCGTCCATCTTAAACACACTCCTCAAGAATCCAATGTCACTCTAAGCGTCCATCTTAAACACACTCCTCAAAATCCAAACAGTCACAAGATGTCACTCTAAACAATTGCAAGATGTCACTCTAAGCGTCCATCTTAAACACACTCCTCAAGAATACAAACAATTACAAGATGTCACTCTAAGCGTCCATCTTAAACACACTCCTCAAGAATCCAAACAATTGCAAGATGTCACTCTAAGCGTCCATCTTAAACACACTCCTCAAGAATCCAAACAATTCCAAGATGTCACTCTAAGCGTCCATCTTGACACGGAACACTCTCCTCAAGAATCCAGACACACGTGACAGGAAGACTCGAACTGGGGACTGGGTTGGGGTTTCGTCATCATCAAGGTTGATGTCAACGAAGTGAGAGGCATCACGGAAACGGAAGTAGGGAGGGGCAGGGAGGCGGTGGGAGGGGTGGGCAGCTCAGACAGGGGTTCAAGGATGGTCATGTACCTCCCAGTAGGACGCTGACAGGGAGGGAGAGAAGGACAAGCAGAGAGTGACAGAAGGTGGAAGTAGAGAAAAAGGGTAGATGTTCATAGTTGATTAATAGTCATAATGTAAGAAAAATGTGATTTCGATACGGTATAGGTATTTACTGTACACATGCACATTGAGAGTAGTGTCCAAATTAATAGTATATGTGTTGGTATGACATTGTGTTAGTAAATGACGGTTAAGTTCATACACAAAATAAAAGACACACACAATTTCAGTCTTATAATAACTATAACATAACTGATTCCCTAAGACACCCACTTGGCGAGGAGGGGCCCAGATGTCAAAGTTCAAAGGGAACCTGATCACGAGGTCAAGGGCTGTTGGGATAAGAAGGAATGAGAGTCTTAGAAATAACTAAACAACAAACAGAACCTGACTGTATCAAAACTGATCATGAGTAAACCAGGACATTTAAATGAGTAATCATTAAGTTGGGACACTTAATCTGGCATATTCATTAAGGTGACATTAAAGTATTCCCAATGTTCTATGCATACACTTATGTATTTTATGTATAGAAGTATTCTATTTTATTATATTCAGTTTTAAAAAGTTCAAAAGGGAACCTGATCACGGGGTCAAGAGCTGTGGGGAAAAAATGAATGAAAGTCTGTTAAATAATCAAACAACAAACAGAACCTGACTGTATCAAACCTTCATCTACAAATGGCTTCATTAAACCCTAACTGATGATTAGTGAATGAGGACATTAAAACAACCAATGTAACAACCAATAATTTAATTTTGACATTTTAAATCTTGCATGTTCATTTAGGTATACCCCTATACTTTGCAGATATATACAATTATTTAGTTTATCTATATAATTATTCATTTTATTTAATTACGTTATAACAAACAAGCATGTACAGTGCAAATTTGACCCTTTTATTTTGTCTATGTATCAGTGCATACATAAAGGTATGTTTGGTTGATGTCAAGATAATATTACCCCAAACCTTAAATGAGTTAATGTTCCCTTAGTAGCAGCACGTGTAAGTAAAATGGTGCTGTCATCATGTATAAAACAAAATCATGCTCACATAATTAAACAGGTTATTTTGGTACACCATTGGTCTACCAATGGCCCAAACCATGTGCTCTTTACCCAGTGATTTACGATACAGATCAGAAGAAAGTTTTTGTATTTATTTGTATAAATAACATGTATGTAGTAGGTTGGGAGCACCTTTAGAATTCACCACCACAATTCCATATGTTTGTCTCTCTATCGCAAGTCACCTGTCGCTAAGACAAGCAACCAGGGGGTAAATTCTGTGAATACTGTTGGCCATAATGTATATAATGTATACAATATATCACAATAAGACGTGCTGAAGCATGTTGACATTGTTCATGTTTTCTTGATACCTGGTCGTCACGGACTGTTGTTTAGCCCGTTCAACCTGGTTTTAGAAGCACTCGTAAAAGCATCATGTGAGTAACCACAGTTCATATACTGCTCGACAGGCACAATTCTCTAAGGTAATAATTAATGAGTGAGTTTAGTTTTACGCCGCACTCAGCAATATTCCAACTATATGGCGGCAGTCTGTAAATAATCAAGTCTAGACCAAACAATCCAGTGGTCAACAGCATGAACATAGATCTACGCTATTGGGACACGATGAGGTAATAATTAATAGTTTTAAATGATAATTTCTAAATAATATAAATAACTCCTAAATAACGGACTGGCATCCTTAGACATCCGGAATTGGGACACCCATGTTCATATCCTTATCAACATGCTGGCTATATTGCCTTATCTGAGCAGTCCTGTCAAGACTGGCAATGTACCAGGACAGCTGTAGAAAACAGAACAGGGTTCCTACAGTTTTGAACAATCGAAGTTATGGCCTTTTAGGGGCTTTTCAAGACCCAGTCAATAATTTAAGGAACTATAGAAACCCATAAGACATAAGAAGTTGAAGACACTCAAGGTTGGTCAAATGCGGAACGACCATAAGAGGGAAATAACTCTTAGTTACATCCCTGTACTGGGAAAGTTTTGCTTCGCGATGGAGATTATTTAACACATTTGTATAAGTAGTTTATTAAAAGTTGACACGTTTTGCTAAATATAGGGCCTTTTTAGGGCAAATCACTGGCAATTAGGCATTTCCAAATTTCAGGTTTGTTCAAGCCCTGCGAAACCTGCAGAATATCGACATGGGTATCCATACAATAAAACCTCAATAACCACCAGTTATGAGAGTAAACTGCTCAATTTATATAATTGTGTGAAGCGGACGTTGTATTCCTGTTGTATGTAAACACTCTGAATGGTTGAGAGGCCTCAATTAATGTGAGAAAGATTCTAAGACAAGTCAGTATTTAATGCAAGGTCAGCTGGCAGGATGTTCTGGAAGTTTCTTCGTTTCCCTACATCAGGATGAATAAAGTAAATGAGTCATAAAAGAAAGCAAAAAAGGCAACAGTAACTAGTGTAGACATAAAGAAATACCTTGGGTGTAGGAGTTCATAGTGACAATAACTGGTGATGAGCAGATCGTGAGGCAAATGTCAGCAGAAATTCAGCAATATCACAGAGGTATGATAGCGTCAAAATGGCGGCATCAGAAGTGAAGCTGTCGTCATAGCGACGTCATAAATCTCGCGAGATCGTCATAGCATTACGTGACGCTAACGACTGGTTTCATCCGTACCCTGCGCATGTCAGTTTTACGCAGCACTCAGCAATATTCCAACTATGTGGCGGCGGTCTGTAAACAATCGAGTCTGGGCCAGACAATCCAGTGATCAACAGCATGAGCATCGATCTACGCAATTGGGACACGATGACATGTGTAAACCAAGTCATCGAGATGGCCCCCCGATCCCGTTAGTCGCCTCTTACGACAAGCATGGGTTACTGAAGATCAATTCTAATCCTGTTAGTCAGACACGAGACGAAGCAGCATCAAAGTCTAACTGCAAACATAATCTGATACATGAGATTTTAAGTATATTTCAAACACAACGAATCAAATAGAATCATTCACTGTAGTCGATTGTAAGTAACAAACACTTAGCCATTGTATGAGATGTTATGGATGAAACATGAGGGCAAAGTGAATTAGTTCCAAGTATAATAGGCACCTCGCGAAGTAAATGCAAGCACGATGCTGACGATGTCTGGTGAGTCTCTATGCTGTCCCTGTGCTGTAGTTTAGGATAAGGCATGGGAGTTAAGTTCACCTGTATTAGCATTAAGATCTCACTTTACAACGGTCTTGGTCTTTTACCTTTCCTGAATTGTTTGTTTTAGGTTTGGGCGTTGTTCAAGAACCCATGCTTGGTGTAGGAGGCAACTAACGGGATCGGATGGTCAGCCACCCTGACTTGGTAGAGTCCAGACGCATTATGACATTCGTTGGATTCCTGAATCAGATTATTATTATCATTATTGACATCGCCGCCATTGTACTGAAATATTGGTGAGCGTGGCGTTAACTCTCTTGGTGCCACGGATCAGTGTATGGTCCTGTGAAAATGTCCCCTTCCAACTGCGAATTATGATGCCAAACACGATTACGCAAAAGAAAGATAATAACCCCCATTATTCTAATTGTCATCTGAGCTTTAACACCGCGTTACTCGGATTGCGAGGTTAGAAACGTGTGGTTCTCTCCCTTTTACTGCCATATTTAAACGTCGTAAAGCACGTAGGGTTTGCCAAGTGGTTAAAGCGTTCGTTCGTCACGCCGAAGACCAGGGTTCGATTCCCGGTATGGGTAAAATATGTGAAGCTAATTTTTAGTGTCCCCCGCAGTGATAATGCTGGAATATTGCTGAAAGCGGCTTAAAACCTAACACTCTCACTCACTTACCTACTTATCAATTTGGTTGGTTTGTTGTTTAACGTCGCACTCAGCAATATTCCAGCTATATGGCGGCGGTCTGTAAATAATCGAGTCTGCATATTCCAGTGATCAACAGAATGAGCATCGATCTACGCAATTGGGATACGATGACCTGTGTCAACAAGTCAGCGAGACTGACCACCCAATCCCGTTAGTCGCCTTTTACGACAAGCATGGGTTACTGCATGAAGACAACCTCAAACCCGTTTGTTTCATATAGGGGCGGCGGGGAAGCCCTGTGGGGATACGGTTTCGCTTGTGACATGTTCGATTCCCCACACGGTTACAATTAATGTGAAGCCCAGTTCTGGTGTCCCCACCGTGATATTGCGTGAATATTGTTAAAAGCGGCGTAAAACCAAACCAACAGACTCCCAGAATGCCAAAATAACAAACAAAGCCATCAAAGATATTTGAAAAAGACCATGAGTGAAAAATATTGCAGCTATTGGACTCAGGTAAGGTGGAAATACCTGACATTACAACAGACAATGTAACCAGTTGTTGTTTTGCTGCAATTAATGGTTTCTAAATTATGGTTATAAAATATGAAGAAAAAAGAGCCGTTCTTCTTTTCAGAGACAAAACAAATCTGCAGGGCTATATATGGCTATAATTGTTTGGAATTTCACAACACAACTACAGATTCTTATCACCCATCACTGACATGCCAGTAAATGTGTGTGTGACAGAAATACCTACTGCGCCCAGTTCCTCTCCAAAACACACCTAACTGCAATTTTCGTTCAATTATCACTCCCACTTCTTACCTGAGAAGGAGTGAGTAAGTTTTAGGTTATACACCGCTTTTAGCAATATTCCAGCAATATCACGGCGGGAGACACCAGAAATGGGCTTCACACATTGTATTCATGTGGGGAATCGAACCCGGGTCTTCGGCGTGACGAGCGAACGCTTTAATCACTAGCTACCCCACCGCCCCTATACCAGAGAAAAAGAATGAAACAACCGAAGAATATAGAGACTTTCTATATCGCTCTGTCTTCAATGTAATTACACCTGTTGTCGGAGCACTATAGAGTCGGGGACAGTGAAGGAACAGAAGGTCTTGACTCCTGAGTCTTGGGGAGTGGTTTGGGAACCTCTCCATGTACTAATACTAAACACAGATGACAACTTGACATTAACTCATAATTACAGGCTCTGTCCTCACTTGTGAATTCAGCAAGATTCGTACAGACCCTGAAACTGGTAATATAGACTTGCTACACATTCTACCTTGTATGGGCTACATTGGGTAAATTTATTTCAGGGTCTGCATGACAGACTACCTATTACATAATGACAATAAAACGAAACGTGACTTAACGGTGGGGTTGGGTGTGTGTGGATGTGTGTAACGCACAGTCAAAATGGGTTCGACTAAATTTACTCTCTTATACATGTGATCATTTCAAAAACATATCAGTTACGTTTCGACAGATTTTATCACGCAGACATTGTGATCATCCAATCCTTATTAGACCGGAGAGGATGGAAAGTGGGGAAAACTCGATGTTTCCGTGGCAGTGTCACTAGTGAATCCTTTGGCTCCCAACACTCAAGGAGTGACAGTACCATACCCGTACGTGTCAATGACTGCATCACTTCAGGATTTCCTCCCAGACGATGCTGACAAACCGACACACAGACAAAAGGGGATTGACCCACATTCACTCACTCACACAAGTGGTAGTTACACCAAAACATTTTATACTGAGCTATACAGAAACACATCAGTTTCGTTTCCACATATTTTATTGCATTTCAGTGATACATGTTCACGACAGGCACGATACACATGAACTGGAGAGGTTCGCTTTGACGATGGCTGATCTGTGATATAACTCTCTGGGGAGAAGAGGGCTGCCTATCTTCAACCTGTGAACAGAAAAGTAACTCATCAAAATCTCTGATCAGAGACTATATCATAAGTGTCTATGAAACACTGTCACTCGAAATATAGGATTTCTTGAGTCCTGCTTTATTCATTGCATGCAACGTACTATGAACATTGTCCCTTCAATGGTCTCTCTTTGGAATCTCTGGGAATATTTGAAAAAGATCGCCTAATTTTTACGTTTATACATTTAATGCACATTTTGACACAGGTATAATCCAATATAGATACAACTATTGTCATGTTGATGGAGCAGTGCGTGAATGTAATGTATCTCAATTGACTTCCAATATTGTTACTTTTCACCTGATGTTTTCGCATGGGGATTTTGATTAGCGTGCACGTGGTGTCCAGTACCGCCACGACCTCCACAAAACGGAATCGTGCAGAAATAAAACTTAGGAACTCCAGTAACAAAATCTACTAAAATACTGCAGGTTAGACGTCAGCTGCCACCGCCACCCTGCTCTGATGTCATGGCCATGATGGGTCGTTGCTGAGGCAGGCAAATGATGTTTTCACTGGTCCAATCTTCACTGCAAAATATATACTCACACACAGACATAAACATATTCAAGGGAGACTACAGTATCGGCCATTGCCAGTATTGTATTCGTACACATCGTCCTGGTATGGTACCAATATCTGACTCTAAAAACGGGGACAAAACCACACTCACTCACTAACACGTAGCAGAGGGCATCTAGGACATAGGACCAACTACTCAGATTGTAGGACTACAGTTCGGTTATGTGATAGATGAACGGGTGACCACGGGATTTGTCGTAGAAGTGCAGTGGCATTGCTTAACCTAGCAGGGGTCGGTGAGATGACCTAGTCATTATAGTGTGCACGCCTCACACTGAAGACACGGTTACAATGTGTGAGGCCCATTTCTCGTGTGATATTGCTGGAATAAAAGTAACAACTCACACACTACACACTACTACTCAATACTACTACACGCGCACGCGCACGCGCACGCGCAATCAAAACAAAAAACAAAACAAGACAAATCAGCTAGAAAGTAAAAGCAATATTTAATAGTTAATACTCATAAGAGCCGAATAAATATTTAAAAAACTGGACTTAAATCTTGTCCGAAAAAGCCAAAATAAACAAGGAAATATAGTCTTTTATGAAACAAAGAGCTTTTATCGATGAAAAATCCCAAAACCACCAAATATCCGAAAGGTCCGAAAAAACGTCCGAAAGGTCCAAAAACGTAGAAAGTCACCAAACATATTGTATTTAGGATTCAATGCAATTAATTATTATTCCAAGGTGGCAAGATGTCACTCGATGTGTCCATCTTAAACACACTCCTCAAGAATCCAAACAGTCACAAGATGTCACTCTAAGCGTCCATCTTAAACACACTCCTCAAGAATCCAAACAGTCACAAGATGTCACTCTAAGCGTCCATCTTAAACACACTCCTCAAAAATCCAAACAGTCACAAGATGTCACTCTAAGCGTCCATCTTAAACACACTCCTCAAGAATACAAACAGTCACAAGATGTCACTCTAAGCGTCCATCTTAAACACACTCCTCAAGAATCCAAACAGTCACAAGATGTCACTCTAAGCGTCCATCTTAAACACACTCTTCAAGAATCCAAACAATTCCAAGATGTCACTCTAAGCGTCCATCTTAAACACACTCCTCAAGAATCCAAACAGTTGCAAGATGTCACTCTAAGCGTCCATCTTAAACACACTCCTCAAAAATCCAAACAGTTGCAAGATGTCACTCTAAGCGTCCATCTTAATCACACTCCTCAAGAATCCAAACAATTGCAAGATGTCACTCTAAGCGTCCATCTTAAACACACTCCTCAAGAATCCAAACAATTCCAAGATGTCACTCTAAGCGTCCATCTTAAACAC